GTACTTAAAATACTGCAGCATTTACAAACCAAATAATAAATGTTATTATTCTTGCATGATGAGTTATGAAACTGTTGGATTCCATTTATTTGTACCCACTCCAGAAACGAAATAAGCAGTCCCATTGCCAGAACTTTTTTAATAAAAAAAATAAAAAAAAAAAAAAAAAGACAAAACAAACCAAAAAACCTCATGCTCATGAAAATTCTATCATGTGAATTAGTTTTCTTCCTCACAGAGAAATCCTTGACCTCTGTCTCATGTTCTTGGGTCATTAAGCAAAGAGTTCTCAAAGCCAAGTTCATTGTGACAAAGATCATGAGATTCTCATTGGTGTGGGACTTGGATCCAAATGAAATATTTCTGTACAGCAATTCGACAGAAGGCATAGGAAAAAGTATAATAAAATAATAGTTGCCTTTTTTTCCCTCCTGTCCCTCTTAATGAGGAAATGCAAGTTTTTAGCCACTGGTTCTTGTGTTTCCTTTAAAAGCAGAGTTAACAAGACAATATGAACAGATCTAACTGATTCGACAGCCACCATCAGATCCATACTTCAGGTTAATGAAAACCAAGTGCTCTCAAAGACTTAAGAGAAGTCAATCGCCTAAGATCTATCTCACCAAAAAGAGTTACAGGATAATTCTGAAACTCGGGCAGTGAAATGTTTTGACAGTAGAAGAAAGAAACCTTGAAACAGCTTGGATCTTTACTGCTGTTCACAGAAAAGTTTGGAATTTTCTTATTAAGGTTATTCCTGAGTTTGACTCAATTATGGGGGGAGAGGACAAGGGAGAGGAAAAAGTAGATCTGAGACGTCTTCTAGAGGGCAAGGACAAAAAAAATATGTCCAGCAGGAGACAGGTTACGCACGTTTGGTCTTTTTTCAGTAAAAACTTAATACTGCAGGACTATTCCAGTCTTGGTATCCTGTGGGTTAAATACAGGGAGCAAGTGGCCTCCTGGGCAGCAATGTGAGCGGAGTATTGCTACTCGATTTGAATCCATGAGCAGTCCAAAATGCTCATGCTTCAAAATCAGTGAACTGCCTGAACCGCCTGGTGCGGAGCAAACTCTGCTGCTTTGACACTAATAAAAAGCACATGACAAGGTCAAGGGATGCCCATGTACACCGGAAAAGCCTTTTTCCTTATCTTAAATGAAGCAGTTCAAAATATTGATATCCTGTCTTAAAAACAATCTGCTCTCTAGTAAGACCATACACGTGCATACTTGTGAGACAAGTGTTTTTACAGTCACTCTTCTGCTTTCCATGGAAGAACCTGCGAAGATTGTTAATGCCAGAATCAGAAAGCAACACACCAATTCAGAGGTACGCTTAAGCCCCATACACACACATTAACACACAGATATCCTACTCCCTAATAATTTTGAGTTAACACATTTGTTAAAAGAAAATGCACTGAACAACTGCAACCTAATTTGAAAGGAAATACAATATTCCCATAAATGTATGCATGAAAGCCAAGAAGCTGCATAATAGGCATAGAAAACACAAAAATATGCAATTTACATATATTACACACTAATAATCTCTGTTCTGATGTTATATTTAAGGAGCGTTGGCTGAGATGGCACGCTTGCAGTTTGGTTGCTTTTTCAAGAAATACAAACAAGGACATTCCTGGCTACCAGTTCCCCAAGACATTAATCCCTGTCTTGTTCCTGCCTCTGCAGGTCTGTAAGACAGAGGTTCTCCCACCACAGTCAGGTAGCAACGAGTAAACCAGATGAACAAGGAGAATAATTAGTCATCTGGAAGAGATCTGCAGATCTTGTCTTGATGTTAAGAAATGATGAATAGTATTAGCAAGGTGGGACTCTTTCTATTCTCTTATTCTTTTAAGCAAGAGCAACAATATTTTATTTCCCAGCCTGCAAGACAGGTATGTTATGGAGCATTCTGCTTCCTAAAACTGACCAAAACATACAGTCTTCTCTAACTTTCAAGTTCACAGCTAGCACAATGAAAATAAAATCACAGCACCCTATCCATCTGCCCTTGTCCTCTGCCTTCATCCAGTGCTTGCCTGAAACAACATATTTGTCCGTCATACTCAGGAACAAAGTTAGAAAGGAAACATCCTGCATGGAAAATAAAGCTTCCCCAGGGCTCTGCGTGTCAGACCCTCATTTGGAATACACTGAAGTGAAAGGGGAAAAGGAGGTTTAAGCCTGGTAGGAATATGATCCTGTGAATCTTAATACTAGATTTTGTTCTGCATGTTCTGAGGGTTTGGTTTTGGTTTGGTTTTTTTTTTAAATCACAAAAGATTATTTGGGCCTCAGAAAAAGCACACACGCACCGTGCCTCCCTCCCCCCCCCCAAAGTCACTGTAAATTCAGCTTTACCCACAGAATATCCAGAGCGCTTGCCTGAGAGGACACTGATGGGTGGAAACATTATGTTAATTGCTCACACACCCAGATTTATTGTGGTCAAAAATCCACCAGCTAGTAAAAAGACCTTCTTTCCGTCTCATC